GAGTCTTGTCAGTATCAAAGAGGTCAGGTAGCAGCAAGTGGGAGCCTGCTGGCCACAACAGTGTGGTGACCAACAAGCTCATCTGAGTTCATAGGAAATGAGATGCCCTTTCCAGAGGTGGGGACTGCAGGGGGCCACAGGGGGCAGATAAGAAAGTAATGGCTCTTCCTGAGAACAGAGGCCACTTGACAAGGTTCCTGAAGAATGCTGGCTTCAAGTAGCAATCCTTCTGTTTGCCTGGTCAGAGTCCAGCCTGGGCTGAGCCCTGACTGTCACTGAAGACATTGCCGGTGGCATGGCCATTTTGGGGGTTGGGACCTGACAATGGGAAACTAGGAGGGGGTTGAGCAAACTGTGAAGTCCAGTGGACCCTGAAAGTGCAGGCTTTGTGTGTCTGAGAGGGATGACAGGAATTTCAAAATCAGATTTGAATCCCTTCATGGCTCTGCTCCCTAGTTAACGGCCACTTGCTAAGTCCCTCAGAGCTGTGGGCAGAGGCGCGCAGTGGCGCCTGGTGGTGTTTTCTCTTCTCCCTCGCAGTGGGAGGCTGGGCCTGTAGTGGTTAGAAATTTTGAAGGTGAACAGTTTCTGGGTCATAAACTTTGGATTTTAATATATTTTGCTGCCTGGGTCCCATCCCAGTCCAACTAATTACAGAATCTCTAGGGTGGGGTTCAAGCTCTGGGGGTTGTTTTCAAAATTGCTGGAGTCGTCGCTGGGCTGGCAGGGCCAAGCTGGCCCCTCACACGCTGGGCTGCACTGTGCCTCGGTCTCTCCCGTGTCCCTTGCTGGGACATCCACATCTGAGATCACAAGCCTAGCGGTGCCGTCCGTCTGGTGGGACCAAAGTGCAGCTCTCATAGAAACAGAGCTGTGGCCGCTGCCTCTTTCTCTTCTATTTTAGTAGCAGAAAAGCCGTTCTCCCCCTACGGCCTGCCCCGAGCCCTCTGTCCTCAAGCATTGCACATGTGTTGAGAAAGGCCCACTGTGTGTCAGGGAAAGAGGTAAAAAAAAGTTCCAGAGCCAGAGGAGAAGCCAGGAGCCCCCATGACGGCCTGGTCAACCCAGCCATTGAATGATGAAGATTTGTGAGGATGAGGACTCTGGGAGCAGAGTTTGCTGCCTGCTCTGGTGCCCCTGTCCAGCCTCCTGCGTGTAATTTCCCCTGGATCCTCAGGTATTTCATGTAGAGCATGAAGCTGAGAATACCTTTTCTCTTGCTTTTTGTTTGTTTGGTTTTTTGGTTTTTCTGAGACAGGGTTTCTCTGTGTAGCTTTGGAGCCTATCCTGGCACTCGCTCTGTAGACCAGGCTGGCCTCGAACTCACAGAGATCTGCCTGCCTCTGCCTCCCGAGTGTTGGGATTAAAGGCGTGCGCCACCAAGGCCTGGCCTGAGAATACCTTTTCTCAACTCACTGCACAAACACATAGGTGAGAGAAGTAAAGAGCCTGCACATAGTAGGTGCTCAGTCATTGTCAGGAAGGAGGCCAGAGGACAGTGCATGTGGTGAGCCAAGCACGAGCAAAACTTCCTTTTTCCTTGATCTCATCTTTACCCACCCGACTCCAGCACAGCTGTGCAGTCATCTGATCCCGTCACCCCACACCGTCCCGTCACCCCACACCGTCCCGTCACCCCACACCGTCCCGTCACCCCACACCGTCCCGTCACCCCACACCGTCCCGTCACCCCACACCGTCCCGTCACCCCACACCGTCCCGTCACCCCACACCGTCCCGTCACCCCACACCGTCCCGTCACCCCACACCGTCCCGTCACCCCACACCGTCCCGTCACCCCACACCGTCCCGTCACCCCACACCGTCCCGTCACCCCACACCGTCCCGTCACCCCACACCGTCCCGTCACCCCACACCATCACCCCACACCGTCCCGTCACCCCACACCATCACCCCACACCGTCCCGTCACCCCACACCATCCCCCCCCCCCCTCCCG